GGGAGTGAGGCAGGGCTGGGGCTGGGGGCCATTGCTCAAGCTTGCTGGTCCAAAAACAGTGGATGTGACTCTGTGACTGCTATGCCTCTATCACAACCAGTAGTAAAAAAAGGGCTGAGTCTGGTTGGTACAAAAAGAATTGATTAATGAGGTAGTATGTGTAAAATATAAATACAGTGTGTGGTTTTGGATATTCTCATTTTATAATGCAGGAAGAAATATCAGGAAACTGGGAAGAATTCTGCCTGAGCATAACAAGTACAACACAGTATGATTAAGCCTCTTTCAAGCGGCACCTGCACTGCAAGATGATAGTGCTTCTGTACCCGCATGTGTGCATGCACATGCATGTGCACACACACACACACACACACACACACACATACATATGCATATATAATATATATCAAGCTTAAAGGTTTTCCTTGCTTTATGTTGTACGTACATTCCAGGAAAAGGCACATAACTTGAATTCACATAAAGGGAACCCACTTTACAATGTAACAGACCTCACCTGTACTGACCCCCAGACCCATTTCTACCACTTTTACAAGTCAATTTTGGTACTCACCAACAGCAGACTGTACACACAAAGCACAGGCACTATCATAATGGGGATGGCAACTACAGAAACTCGTGTTGCAGACAACGAGCGAGAAGCACAGATCCACACAGGAGACTAGCGCATCACTCCCACAATGCACCATACAAAGCAGCTGGCTGAAGGCTTCCACTACACTGATTGCATAAGAGTGAATTTACCTCCCATATAATGAATTTTTGTTATAAAAAAAGTCATTGCATAAGAGCAAATTCACACATACAGAATCTGCATAAAGCATGGGAAACCTGTATATAGCTTGTAGAGAGAAAGAAAGAGAGATGATACATACTGTATATTGTCTCTCTCTCTCTCTTTACACACACACACACACACACACACACACACACACACACAAGGTATGCGTACAGAAGCACTATCATCTTGCAATGCAGGTACCACTTGGAAGAAGCTTAATCATACTGCGTTAACCTACTCACACTTGTGTACTCCAAGCCAAGCAGACACTGCTGAAAATGTCTCCGGCATACCTGAGAGCAGCCAGTCGGGATGGCTGTGGCCCAGCTTGACTGTGTATTAACAGGTTTGGTGCATGTAAAGGGGAGCTTATGTCTGGGGCATGGTTGGAGCCATCCTGGCTGGGACATGATGCCATTGTGGTATAGGTTGTAGCTAAGCCCCAACAGGATCCAAAAACAAAGCACTACCCTGCCTATCTACACTAAGGAGCTCCTTTTCTTAAGTATTCTCATAGCACACTTTGAGCTGTGTCCAAAAGCAGCTGCTGCTTCCTTTTGAAATAGGGCTCAAAGGTTTACTACCCTCCTCTAACTCAGGTGATTCAACCCCACATAGGTCACATCCCAGGCAAACATCTTAACCACCAAGCTAGACCTTGTTCTAAAGTATGTGCATTGAAGACAGACAATTTCACAGAAAAAGAATTAAAGCTTCATTGGCCAAGACAGTGTAAATAAGAGTTTCGCTCTGTAGCCTAGCAGTTAGGGTTCTCATCTACAAGCGAGGAATCAGGAGTCCAATCTCTGCTCCAAGAACTGTTTAATGAACTGTTTTCTCTCTCACTCTTTCTCTTCCCTTTTTCCCTCCGACAGCTGTAAGACCTCCCAATATGGCACAGTAGCATAATCCCAATACTTGGTTACTTAAAATAATAGATGATTCTAACTACCCTATGGTTTAAAAAGTTCTATATTATAGACTCCCTTCACAAACCGTTTCTGTACATTATTTTCTTAATACCAGGTGTGAAATCTTGGCCTCACTGAAGTCACTGGGAGTTTTACCTTTCATGTGTTTAGTTAAATAGAGCCACCTTTTTACCTTTCTGTATTTGCTTATTTTACTACTTTTACTCCATAGGATACTTTCAAAAAGATAATTTAATATGTGCTTCTGAGACATCATCAACTGTTGCTTGATTTGATTAGAACTTGTTGTTTCTTACTAAACATTGGTAAAATATATAAGGATTAGTCAGATAACCATAAGGCTAAAAAAAGAATTACAAGCAATCTGTGGGAACCCTAAGCAGGTTGAAGCAGACAGCCAGAGAAGAAGAGGAGATAATAGAGAACAGGATGTTCTATTTTTAATAGGGACATGGGGAAGAAAGATACTTCTTCTTCCTTTCTTTTTTTGTTTTTACTTTTTATTTCCTATCTAATATGGGCATAGGCATGCCCTGCTGTGCAGGCTGGCAACACGTACATAATACGTACTGCTGCTCTTAAATTGGTTCCTTTGGATTACTTGTTACCAGTTTACATCAATTCACAGACTGAGTCAGTCAGTTAGTCTGGGAACAACAAACGGAAGGGAAAACCAAGGTAACAGAAGCAATTTGTGAGTATGTGTGAATTTACAATTTCTTTATTTTTGTGTCATTTATAAATAAGAAAACTTTCAGTGAATGCATCATTCCTGTTTCTTTATAATCTTATTATTATTCCTTTTGTGGTTGTCTGTACCTTTCTGATTGTTAAGAAGTTTCTGTGGGGAAAAGGGTATATGTGTGAATGAATGAGTTGCTGGAAAAGGTTGAGAGAGAAAAAAGAAGTCATCTTCTTCTTCTCTTCTGATTTTTTCATGAGAGTACTTAAGTAATTAAGGTACTTCTACACTGCAAAGTAGTATATATGATTTCATACAGGTCTCTTTGTACTAGTGACAGCAGTAGGGAAAGCTGTACTGAACAGAGGGTCAGCATGTCTGATAATGGCCAATAGGGAAATGTGCTAATAGATGTTGTTTTTCCTCTTTGGTGGAAGACATAAGCCATGAAGAGTTGAAAGGATAGGAAGTCCCCCCTTTGAAAATGCCTTATTTAGGCTTCTGATAATGTCTTTGGCTCTTATTATTCAGAAGTATCTTATGTTGCTGTGATAGAATTATTTCTGAATGATTGAGGTTGGCAGCACTGAAACTGTTGGATATGAGAGCAGGTCAAACATTCTCCTTCTAGTCTTTTATCAGTGGAAAATGCCTTTTTGACCAATAGGAAAATCTTCTCCAAAAAGTTGTATTGATCAACAATTTCAGTTTTGAAAATGATTTTCAAACCATTATGCAAAAAATAATAAATGTCACAGGCTAATCCTTTAAGAGTATTCTAGGAAAGATTGAAGGGACTTTAACAATCTGAAAATATAATAAGCCCTGATGCAACAATCTGTATTAATAACAGTCAGTAAGCTGTGAGTTGCAACAATTCAAGTCATTGTGGTATATGATGACATGTATTGTCTGCACTTGAGGCTGCTTATTCAGGAGACAAATCCTGTTATGTTTTTTATTTTACTACCAGACTGTCAGTCTGGTCTTCCAATCTGATATCTGCCAAAAAGAATAAATTCAGTTATAACCACGTTTTAGTCTTACTATTAAAGATCATTTCTGAGACATGCAATGGTTGATGTTCTTGATAATACAGACGTTCTTACTCAGTGGGTTCTCTGAAAAGTAACACATGGATTTCCAAGTGAGTCACTTGTTTGTTTCATCGTGGTGTTTATGTACCATTTTTATTAATATCACTCACACACAAGAAAGCTTCTCTGTGATCTGTCAGCCCAAGAAAGAATGATTGGATAGTCAAGCTCAGTGGTTTTCATCCTGTGGTCTGTGGACCCCTGGGGATCTGCAGATTTGTCTAAAGGGTCCTTGAAAGATAAGTATGATCAATCAAAATTATGTTAGTACCCACACTTACAATTCAATGGTGTCTGCACCTCCATTCAAATTTTTTTAAGGATCCACAAGTGAAATAAGCTTGAAAAGAATTGCTCTAGTTGTACCAAACCCCGCAACCCCAGGAACTGGCACAGGAAGCCGAAAAGGAATTTTTATATAGAAAATGCTAGGGGTTAGTGTCACAAAGTAATTGCTAAGAAGAAAGGAACAGGCACAGGTAAATAAACATTAACATTAAGGTATATACAGATAGGAACTAGGTAACAGGTAATAAGCAGTGATACTGTGGTGAATTCTCTCAAGAACAGGTAGTGAGCACTACTGCTGTGGTATATACACTCACGAAACCTTAAACCCTCCCACACCTTGGAGGTACTACAGACCAGCCTCTTATCCTAAGCGTGCTCAAGTGCCATCTGCACATGCTTCTGCATCTGAGTCCTGCTGCTACAGTCTGTAGTCCCAGCTCTGTCACTCCTCTGGGATGTCCATCCATGTGTTTCACTCTGCTGCTGCATTCCATGCTCTGCTGCCAAGTCCCACACCCTGCTACTGTTCCTGCTTCCTCTCCCTTTGTCTCCCTGCCCCTACTGTCTCTGGAGGTTATAGTCTACATGCAGTCAGCACAGTTCTGCAAGTCTGTTCCCCCTGGGGACTCCTGAGAGTTAAAGTCCAAATCCAGTGAGCAGAGCTGCTCCCCCTGCTGTCATGCATTACAATACATTACATTCAGTTCACACAATGTATTGCATAGACTTCTTTGACAAAGGCATGCATTACTATGAATATGATGGGCCCATTCTCAGAGGAAGGGACAGTGCTTTACAGCAAAATGAAAAAATATGTTTGCATTCCTTTTTACTACTTTGGTGTCTAGGACTGTAAGCAGGAGTCACACTGCTCATCACCCTGACAATCTGAGGGCATGTACTCTAGGCAAGGATATAATCATAGGTATTTCCCAAAGTGAACTCTGTACTTCTTGAACATCATATCCCTTTTACCAGGCCTCAGCTCAAGCTACCTGTTCCTCATGCCATTGTTCATTTCTATCTGATGTCAAGGAAGCAGAAAGAGATGTCTGGACTCCTTTGTTTCCTTTGTCTGGAATCCTGGTCCTTTGTTGTTATAAAATGAAGTAACAGCATTTGTATAAAGCAGGACTACACAATATATGTTCATAGAATTCTTAATTACAGAGATAATCCTTGCTTCACACAGGCCCAGGATGTGGATATTCAGAACGTTAGTTTGGTTCCAAGGAATTTTATTTTCTGAAGAATTTCGAAAACCAACCCCTATGAATTCAGAAGAAATTTTTGAAAGGAACAGGGTGGATCCAGAATGTTTTATGAATGTTGTAAGTGATGTAATTTTCTCCTTCTATTTTTTTTAGAGTATGTTCCCAATTATTCATAGTTCTATATTTTTTTTAGAGTGACCAGCACTGGATAGCTTAGGGGAGATATCTTTTAAAAAATCCCTTGGTCCAGCATTTTCACTCTGTGTTTCTAGACAGGCATACCAAATTAACTTCACTAGAGTTTATATCACAACAAATACCAACTACAATTGTGCAGATAGTAGTTATGTCTTGCATATAGTACACCATGAAAAAGTACTGTTTTGGTGCTAGTTAAACAGTCCTAGAATCTTGCCTTTGGAAGTTTCTTTGGAAGCTGGGATTACTGAATACTATCGCCAGCTCTGCCACTTACTATGAGACTACTGACATGGCACCTAAAGTATGAAATCAATAGGAGTTCTTCTATGCTTATCAGCAAACAGTGTTTTAAGCCATAAATCAAAGGATTGAGAAGGGAATCTGCCATAGTGATTTTGGCCTCCTCTGATATGGTTTAACCTTGTAATCTCATTACAGAGATTTTGACCTGTAATCTCATTACAGAGATTTTGAGAAGGGGATTATATAATGAACCATAAATTGCCTGTTGCAATTGGCTTAGTAGGGCATTTACACTTTGCCAGAAAGATTTTAACTGCCAAACAGACATATTTTCCTAACAGAGTTCTTGGACAGCATTTTCCAGTCTAAAGTTAATTAAACTCTTCCCATGTACCAACAACATGGCTTCTCAGCTAAGCAGAGACTTCTCTCCTAGAAAGGAGGATTCCTACTATGCAGGTATTCTGCCTATTATGCTGCTCTCTGAATTGTTTCTTAATTCCTCCTAGGGAAAGCAGGAGCTCTGTAAATATGTTAGGCTGAGTAATCAGTCATTTTACGATCACCTGTTGTCTCAGCTCATGTAGTTTTGCAATCATTTTAAGGAAGCCTCCTCAATCATAGTCCCTTAAAGATACACTTCCTAGTATCTGGGGCAAATAGTTCTTCCTTCTTTTCTCAGGAGGAGAGCTATGATTAGCTTCTGCACACGTACTACCTGATTAAAATGGTATCTTTACATTGAAGAGAAAGTTTTTTAACAGTAGTTAGGTGTGTTTTTTAAAAGAAACTGGCTACTAAGCATCTCATAGTATTAGTGACTACCTTGATGATAGAGTTTATCAGCATATACTCCACACATGCAGCTATGATGGCATTACTTGAGATTAAGATTAGATTGAAAAAATGCTGATAATAGGGATTTTTCAGCCCATCCTGTCCTGAACCCTGAGTTATAACGTTTGTCAGGTCTTGGCCAAAGAGGAGGGGGCATAGTCCTGTCTATATGCTGTAGTGATTATTAGGTGACAGTTTCCAGAACCTGTAAATTAGAACACCAAGCATTTGAACCAGAGGCCTGCAGCTTCACGGAACAGGTGAGTGCAAAAGTGCCAGACCTTCTTCTTTCTGGCTTTCCTCAGATTTTACACTGAGGAGCAGTTTGCCTAAACCTGTCAACTGGGATAGCTTTCCCTCCACAGGGATCCTTGCCTAACAACTCAGACAATGTGAAAAATAGATTTATTTAACCAGGCCTTCATTTGGCTTCCTGCAGAGTGAAATTGTTAGGTATCATGGATACCCTGCTGAGGAGCATGAAGTTGTGACTGAAGATGGTTATATCCTTAGTATTAACAGAATTCCTGGTGGAAAGAACAGTGGGAACAAAGGTAAGATTTTTGTCTGAAGGAAGAAAGCTTTGATGGGATGAATTTGGGCTTGCACTTATGTATGCACAGCTTCAAATATCTAGGGATCTACTTCATTTGCTGATTCTCGGATTTCATGGAAACCACAAAATCTGGAATTGTCTATAAAATCCATGAAATAAAAAAAAAAAGAGCAAAAAAGAAAACTCTGGGAGCTAGCGGACCTTGCTGCTGGGAGGGAAAGGCGCTGGCTTGCAAGGCAGCATGAAGGGCAGCCAGCAGTCTAGATGGTGGCTGGCCCCTCATCCCCAACTGTTCCCCTCACCTCCATGAGGGACTCTCCATCACTCAGTGCCGAGGGGTGGATTTCAGCAGTATGACCACAGAATGCGAATTTTATGTTGTGATCAACCCACAAAAATTGTTGTCACCATGAAATTTAGGTAGATGCCTACATATATCACATATTTTCATTCACACCTGAATTTTGATTCCTTACTGAATCCTAAAAACAGGTAAGGTTGGCCTGGTTCCATAGTTTCCTGGAATCATTTTTTGCATTTCTAATTCTTGCTTTGATGTAAGCTACATGACTTGCCATCAACTGAAGTCTTCACTTCTTCTTAAAAATGTTGCATCACATGTAAGAGGGAAGGATTTCTTAGGGGGATATCTTTTATTGGACCATCTGTGTAGTTGGGATAGAGGTCACAAGCTTTCAAAAGCAAGACATCCTTCATCAGGTCAGGTCAGCTGCCATGGACTTGGGATTGCACATATGAAAGCAGACTTCTTCTGTGAAGGGCAACAGGGCAGAGTGTTAAATTCAGAAGAGTAAGACTTCATGTTTGAGGGGGGAGGTATGTAGCAGGGTGGCCAACTCTCTTAAGAGAAAGCAACTAGCTACAGTGATGGGCTGCAGCTAAGGGCAGGGCTTGCTCAAAATTAAAAATCCCAGCAGGCAGAACAAGGCAGGGTGTGAAGGAGAAGCAACAAAGGCAGGAAACCTCAGCGCTAGGAGGACAAACCTGGGAACAAAGACTGAAGCTATACTGTAGTCATTGCTCAATGCCAAAAAAATCTTCTTCCTTTCCAGGAAAAAGGCCGGTGGTGTTTTTGCAGCACCCTCTCCTAGGAGATGCAACCCACTGGATTTCTAACCTGCCTAATAACAGCTTGGGCTTCATCCTAGCAGATGCTGGCTATGATGTTTGGTTAGGAAACAGTAGAGGGAACACCTGGTCTTCAAAGCACAAGACTCTTAAACCCAGCCAGAAAGAGTTCTGGAGGTTCAGGTACACTGAATAACTGAAATTTTGAAAATGGCCATTTCTGAGAAATTAATAATAATAGCAGGATGGGGGAACCTCTCACTTTCAGTTTTCTAGTTAACTGCTACCCAGACTGGTATTGACTGAAGGATGGAAGTGGCCTACAGAAATAGGGGGATGAAAGCCTCAGTGGAAGGGTTACTCACTGAGGCTGGAATCTGGTAAGGGATTATGGGAGTGTTACATTTTGATTGGGCTTGTGGTTAAGGCTAAATATAGATAGTGAAAAGCCTGAGGCTGAACAGATTCCATCTTTGCAGGTTTCTCTCATTGAACCAATAAGCAAGTGAACTGATGTTCACTTTTCAAACAGAAAAGGCAGCCAGACCCTGGCAGTGGCCCATACCGATAGCTGTGGGGTGCTGGAGCATGCTTCCCAGCCTGCTGGCCACTGTGGAGAACTGGGAGCCCTCTGATTCCCCAAGCCATTCCCCTTCTTCAGCTTCCTGGCCAGCTGCGCAAAGGGTGGGAGGAAAGAACCCATCCTGCCAGCCCAGCACCAGACCCCCAGCCAGGAGCAGCCTGGGAAGTAAGGAAGGGGAAGGTGGAATTGGGGGGTTTACCTGGGAGTGGGGCTGGAGTCTCCTAGCCATGCCCCCTTCTCAGCCTCCCAGCAGGGGAGGAAAACCTGCGCTTGGGCTTGGCTCCGACCCCTGAGCCAGGAGCCATGCACCCTTCTCAGCCTAGGGCTGCCTGAGAGAAGGGGGGAAAGGGAAGCCACAGCAGGAGACGTGGCTCCCATTCCAAAGATGAGAGCAGGGCTGTTGTCCCCTAGTCTCAGCCTCTAGCTGGTTGGGTGAGGGGGAAGAAAGCTTCTATAGGGGCTTGGCTCCTCCCTCAGAGTTGGGAGCCAGGCCCCGGTGCAAGCTGCTCCCTCCTCCTAACCAGCTGGATGGCTGAGTCTGAGTAGGGGGCATGGCTCTCAGCTCCTGGCTCTCAGCTCCCCCTCCCCAGGCCAGCAGCACACAGCTGGAGGGTCTTGTTCCTTCCTCCCACACCCTCTGTCCAGCAGAACCCAGCTGGGGGTCTGGTGCTGGGCCACAGGGGTGGGTTTCTCCCCTCCACCCCCTTATCAGCCACCTGGAGGAGTGGCAGTGTTCCAGGTAGGGAGCACAGGGGTAGGACACACCCTGATCACTGGAGGAGATAGCACAGCCCAGGGCTGCAAATCATCTTGGGATGCTGAGGGACTATGAGTTAACTCAAACCAGGAGGGGATCTGGGACAGAAGGTACAGAAACTGGTTTGACCTAAATCAGTTAAATCTCATACTACATCCAATCAGGTTTATTTTACCTCCAAGCTCACTATTTATAGATGGTTTATTTATAGATGGTTAATTTTTTTTGTTCACTGGAACTTTGGAACTTGATGGAAACAGATATTAGTGGCCCTGGGAAAGGGGTCAAGGGATCAATTTAGCTAAAACTTTGTTTTTAGTTGTCTGGGCCCAGTCTGTTAAATATCTGGTAATCATTACTTTATTCAAAATCTTGTTAATCAATTGAAATATATATTTTTGAGGTAGCAGAAGGACAGATTTATTGTCTTCTTTATCTCTTGGCTTTTGGCCTTTGTTCAGTTATTTACTAACTGGCCTGTAGCCTCTCAAGGCTGCTTTGCTCTTTCTATTCTCAAGGCTGCCTTTGTGTCTATAACCATTTAAACATGTTAGCAAAAAATATATATTATAGCAAAATGACTATTAATACATTTGGTGACCTTAGTTATAAATGTTTTAGGATGCAATTGTAATATAGAGTGTTTATGATACAGACCCTTGGCTTGTGGTTCAGTCATATTTCTCCAGCTTTGATTTAGGTTCCCTGAACATTGCCACGCCTGACATCCACACTTTCCCTGCAGTTTGGTTATGCTTTGGATTTCCTTGCAGTTTGGTTATGCTTTAGATAGCATATGTTTGATTCAAGTTAGAGTGCTGTTTGTCATCCATAGCTCATGCTGCACCGGCCTATGCATGGCTACAGGAGGAAAGGAGGGTTGTGGATAAATGGAAGGGGTATGGCAGAGAGAAGTAATGGAGGTGTGAAAGGGAGTAAAAAGCACAATGGACAGGGATGGTGAGGTTGAAAAACTGAAAGGCTACAGCAATAGGAGATGGAGAGAATGAAGCAAGATGGTCAGTCCATGCCAGTGCAGCAAATGAGGAAGAAAGCTCCCTAGATCTCAATTATCAGAGACAAGTGAAGGATGCTGTGCTGAAACTGAAAGCTCTGTCACTCTCAGCAGTGTCCAAATATTGAATACGCCCAGAGACAGAATTGCAGATCAAGGCTGATCCACCCCTACCAGTCATGTTGCTAATATGCTACAGTATAGGGAAGACCCCTATTTATAGCTAGTAGCCTTTAGGAGCTCTATCTAGAGATCTTGTGTCTCACTATACCACTGGGTACAGCACATACACATGCTAAACATTTGAAACACACTAGCGGTGCTTGCTTTTTGAAGGGAGGCAAAGGACCCATGACTTGACATAATGACTGACCAGTCCCTGTTTCACGTAACTAAGGAATCTGTGTGCTATCGTGGCCAATTGTATTAGAATTTATTCATGTAAGTTTTTTGGGTTTTCTCCCTATAGTTTTGACGAGATGGGTAAATATGATCTTCCAGCAGCAGTATACTTTATCCTGGAAAAAACTGGACAGAAGCAGCTCTATTATGTTGGCCATTCAGAAGGGACAGCTATAGGTATGCTAAAGTGGAAGTTAGACTAGTGTGTGCATTATCTTCTAGTGATATATGGAGGTCTTTGTCATTGCCTATTATTATTCTTAAAATCTCATGATTGTAAGCCAGCCTCCTGATTTTTGAGAGGTTTGAAGAACATACTTTTGATGCTTTTATGGGGAAATGCTGCTACTTTAAGATAAATTGACAGCCACTATCAATCTTATCAAACTTCTTACCACCCATAGAGGGAATATCGTAAGTTATCAAGGAACTTATCTCATTTTTATCTTGATATTTGAATGCCTTTTGAGTTTAAGTCAGTGCTTTATTAGTTTTGTATGTGAATATTTGTTGTGTTATATGGTCTGAATCAGTCTAGAAGAAAATTATATTCTGTTCCTCAGTCCAAGCCTCAAAAATATATATACTATTTTTTACATGGCTGTAAAGTTCTACTGGTCTTTGGAAACTAAGCAGCATAAAACCCCCAAAATAGCACACTGGATTTGGGAATATCTAAGGAAAAAATTCAGAAGGCACCAAAAATCTAAGTTAAAAGAAACTTCCAATGAATTCAAGAGGTAAGGACTGTTTTGTTGATGTCTTTTATTGGACTAATTCCTAAATTTATAATAGTCCAATATTGCTCGGACCTTCACAGCCACAACTTCACTCCAACTCTTCTGTCTCAACAAAGTGATTTGAAAATATAAAGTAATTTGCTTACTTTTGGCCATCAGAATCCAACTGAACAGCATCCCTGGAATTTAATTTTTTTCAAGTGTAATCTGAATTGTGATTTTGAATGAACATTTGATTTTCATACAATGTGTAGCATTTGAACAAACCAGGGATCTTTCAGATTCAGCTTTGCTATGTTAAGAGATCTTTTGTATCTTCTCAGGTTTTACAGCATTTTCAACTAATCCAGAGTTGGCTCAAAAAATCAAAGTCTTTTTTGCATTGGGTCCAGTAGCCACAATTACCTATGCAACCGGCCCCCTGATAAAGGTTGGGACTTTTCCTGAATCCTTGATCAAGGTATGTTATTCCTTCACTCCAACAGCCAGACTCCCAGTTCTGACTGCACCTGCTTTGCTTCTACCTAAATGGACAGCTAAGGATTTGTCTAACATAGGGGGGTCCTTGAGCAGTACAAGGCTATTGAATGCTTCTTGCACTTATCCTAGTCTGGAGGCTGGCCAGGCATGGGGTGGATTGTCAATAGCTAATGACTCTGTGATAAACTCAAAAAGGTTAAAAATGTATCCCTCAGATATTTAGTTTTTCAAATATTTCTTTTCAGTTTGGAGCCTTGCTGTAATAGTTTGAATTATGTAAGCAGGCGAGGCTATAGGAGTGTTTTGCTTTCTGTTTCTGCACTGGTTTAACTTCAGAAGGATCTGTCTGGAAAGCAGGAAGGAAGGAAAAGAACAGCTCAAGAGAGCTGTCACTTAGCAAATACTCCTTTTAGAATTGTCAAGGGACAGTGCCAGAACTAAAACACTTATACTGAAAGGGATTTCAGAGGCATCCCTACTATAGTGCTCTTCAGAATTTCCTGGAAGTGCCCTCTCTGGTTCCATAGGTTAGCTGAGTTTTGTGCAATTAGGTGTTACATATAAAAATGAGGGCTGTGAGAAGCTTCGGTTCCTGATTCAATTCAGTGGCAATTTGGCCCAATTAGGTGGCTGAATCTCTGAATCTCAATTGAATCAGAGGACACTTTACTCTCTCCGAATCAATCTGGAGAGATTCGGACAGATTCGGTAATTCAGAGGTAGATACAGCTTTGAAAGTTTTTTTTTTTACATACCTCTAGGTAGCAGGGGCTTTGAACGCTGCAATGCTGAGGCAGATGCAGCATCCCACAGAAGCACGGGGGGTTCACCAGCAGTTTGGCAGCAGACCCGGAAGTGGACCAGAAGGACTTCCAGGTCCACCAGGGAGCATGCTGGTCCCCCCCCGTGGTCCCCCGGCTCGGCAACTGGTGCTTTCTGAGTCTGGGTTCTTCCAGTCCACTTCTGGGTTTGCTGCTGAGCATGCTGGAGAGCCCTCCTCACTGCTGTGGGATGCTCCATCTGCCCCAGCATCACAACGATCATGAGCTGCGCTGCTACCTCAAGGTATGTAGAAAGAACTTTTAAAGGTGTGCCTGTGTCCAAATTGCTGATTCGCTGAATCAGCATCAAATCTTCAGCTTCAGATTCGGATGAATTGAATCGGGGACAGTGATCCGAATCAACAGATTGAATCACTGTCCCTGATTCGGTCCAAATCCAAATCAAATAGGGCCCATTTCGCACACCCCTAATGAAGATTAAAGGTTATTCTCCTCAACATGCTGTGCTTGGTCTTTAAGTACAAAATACATTCTCTGAGAATTTACATATAAATCTATTTCTGAGGAAAAATATTTTAAAATACTACTTTAATAAATACAATATTTGTGTAACAATTGGTAACTTATGGTAATATACTGTAATATAGAAAACAATTAAAGGGATTCAATAATTTACCAGGCACAAATGTTATGAATGCTGAGTGGCTTCAGCACACTCTAAGACTTTAAAACATACTTTTCAAAATTAGTTTTAATGTGAGACTGTGATCACTATTGAGCATTACTTGTGCCCATTCCATGGTGGCAGAACAGAACAAAGTTTGGTGTTCTAGTTATACATTTCCCCACCTTAACAAAAGCTGAGTTTCACCTGAGCCTTGGTATCATTGGATCACTGCAGCATCCCTAAAACTTTGTTGCCAGAAGCTATGAATGCATATCTTCTATTGACTTTTAATATAAGTTTGTCCTGGAAATTCTATATAGGAATTAACTGCATCATTAGGGTAGAGGCATCTTGTTTTCTAGAAAAGTTGCTAACTTATGATAATACTGAAGTATGGCCAAAGTATGCCGGTTTGTTGCTCTTTGACTGACTTCTTTTAACTTAGAGAAGATGTTTCATGGTATTACTCAAAGTATGACAAGTCTTAGTGTTAATGGAAAAGATTGCATGTATTCTCTAATGAGAGCCAGAACCCACTGAAATATTTTATTGCCAGGAAAATAGGAAGATGGTTTCTGCCATGAGTATCACTTAGTAATATAAAAAGATAATATAGCTGTGAGTTTGTGGAAATACTACAACTAAAGAATAAAAGAATAGCAAACTGATCTATGAACCTTTGAAATTTTTTATCTCACATTAGTGATTTTCTTATATGAAATGAGTTTATTATTGTACTCTACTGTTGTAAAAATAAAACAATGAGGATTTTTTCCAGTTCTTCTTTGGTAACAAGGGAATTTTTCAACAATATGAACTTCTGAAGAAGCTTGTTATAAACCTGTGTACACACTTGAGTAAATTCTGTACCTCGGTCCTCTCTTTTGTGGGTGGCTGTACTATGGCAAATCTAAATATGGTAAGTATGAAACAGAGTATTTAAAGCAATAAAACTACAGTAATTTCTGAGATACACAATGTCTAGATACATTATTTATAGACAGCTATTTTTGTCTGCAGAAATACATAAGGTAAAGTTTGGTTCAGTTCATCGGTATTCTGAAGGAATAAGATCCTCCTGCTGGCTTTGACCAACATCAGATTAGATTATAACTAAGGATAGGATCATCCATATTCTGGGCCCAAACCTTGGTTAGTATGGCTCCATATTGCACAAATGTTTTGAGAAATTGTCCCTTTCTGACCTGAGCAGTTAGCCAAATCTGTTCTCTTATAGGGGTTGATTCCATTAGGAGGAAACCTTAATACTGGAATCAGATTTCTGCTTATTTACAGAGTACATCTAGTTTCTTGAATACAGTGTAAATCAAACAATAAAAGGAACATGATTCCTTTCTTTGCGGTTCCAGAATAAAGTCTCTAGATGTTCTCTCTGAAGACATTTGCCAAGAACACAATTCCAATAGTTTATTTCAGACTGTGTTACCCTGTTTTTCTGGTCCCTCACATTTGCGCCAGTAATGTTTCTTACTGCTATACCAGCTCTCTTTCTCAGTCTAACTCATATATGCACAACAACACACACTGAGCTCATCTAGCAAAATCTCCCATATTTACCCAAATGCAAAATGCGTTTGAATTGAAGACAACCCCCTTCATCCCCCACCTCCAGTAATTATACTTAGATGGCAAATTATAAAATTGTTACAATTCTCAATGTATAGAACTTACTATCATACTAAATATGTCCCCCCACCTGCTGTGGTGAGAAAGCAGGAGCAGAAGGATTTGAGGGGCAGTCCCTGCCCCTTTCTCCCCTATCCCTTGTCTCCCTGTGCCTGTTCCCATTGCTGCCTGTCCCCTGCCGCGTGCCCTTTTGCTGTCCCTGTGGCCTCCATGCCTGTGCCTGCCCCTGCACCTTGACCCCTGTGTCTGCCGTGCCACTCCCTGCCTTCCTCACAAGTGGTTGAATGAAGCCCCAGGTCTGAGTACTCCATATCCAACCACAGGTTATTGAAAAACCACCTCTAGCTTGGGTAACCTTGTGCATCTCTGAATCTAACTCAAAGATGTTATGCATATGCCAAAGGAAAGTTTGTTTTCATCTAAAAATCTTGGCCTATATTGTGCCATGGATCATAAGGCAAGCTATAGTGACTTTTTGCTATTTTGAAATTTTATCTAGATCTAAGAAAACTATCCTCTGAAAAACTTTGCTTGTTTCTTTTTTCAAGTGGTACATATAGGCCAGAATATTCTTTTTACTCAAAAAAATAGTTACAAAATAAGCCTTTGTGTTATGTCTTGGAGCTAAAACATTCCATAATAGAAATATAAGAAAAATATATCTGGAAGCATGTGATGTGCATTATAAGTAGCCAGATTAGAAACAGAATAGACTTTTATACGGGTGAAGACAAGCAATAAGACATTTGCTGACTTCATAATGTGACATGCTAACTGACTAACGTGATTCTCAATTCAGGTTGCCAGTTGTAAGGGGAATCTGAGTTATTGCCATAAATCACTAAATAGCTGTTCCTAGATATGTACAAATACAATTCTTTTCCTTGGGGAGTGAAAAAAATGGAAAGTAAAATAAATCTGAATTTGTGAAATGTTTATATTTATAGGATTGTTTACATGTCCATGAAATTGTGTTTTGGGATAAGGCATGCAGCTGGTTTGAAAACGCTAGTTGTTATATTATTTTTTAAATACTACGTGGTGAAACTGTATTTTAGCAGCAAGGCCTTGGATGTCCCCTGGTGGCCAAAATGGCTAACCTATTATTTTGGTAATATATGCATAGGTAGACTGTTTTTAAGAGAATTGCATCCTCATCTTTTTAATCCAGGCCCCCTATATTTTTATTTGAACCTCAGTATTAAATGAAATTCCACATTCATGATAATCACAATTTTCCTTTTAGAGTCGCGTGGGCATGTATGTAGCACATTCACCTGCTGGAACATCTGTGCAAAACCTACTACATTGGCGTCAGGTATTAATGACCACTTAAAATAGACCAGTGCCTTAACAGCTGCATATTTTATGCAGGGTAGATAAAACTAATATACTGAAATTAGTCAGTGTTGGAGTGTGAGAGAGTGTGTGTATGTGTGTAACCCTTTGGTCCAATTTATCTTATATATTAATATGTATGTATCACAAGGAGAGACCAATGTTTGTTAAAGCCTGTGTTAAGATAATTATAATTTGAAAACTATTGGTGAATTAAAGCATAGTCTCTACAAGTTTAAGATATTGGACAGTCAGTGGAAAATTGGTGAAAAACTAGAAAAGGCTGAAGGAAGTCCTGATATAGACAAAAAGGCTTTGGGAGCAGTTTGTTAAGCTGAAAAACCTCTTGAGAAACTACATTTGGGATTTGGAATGGCATAGCCTTTATTTTCTATACTGATATAAAAGATTTAACTGCTTGTCATTTTGCTGAAATACAGAGATTAGTACAAAGTAATGTATATCAGTAAATAGGACTAAGACAACAATTTCCCATTTTCAAAAAAGGGCCTCTGCACTTGGGGAGGCTTATGCACAGATTTTCAATAGGACTTAAGTAATAAAATTCAGAACACAGATCCATAAATCTTCTAGATGTGAGAGACCTCAGAAAGTCATCTGCTTTAACACCCTGATCAAGGCAGGATCACCCCTGTCTAAATGATACCACAAAAATGTTTGTCTAACTTTTTTTTTCAAACATCCAGTGGTCATGATTCCCGCAATCTCCCAAGCTGATCTGTTCAAGCATTTATCTATTTTCAGAGCTAGAATTATTTTCCCTGTTATATACTTTAACTCTGCCTTCTTGCAATTTTAGGCCATTATTTCTGTTTCTGCCCCTTAAGGGCACAGAGAACAGTTGATCACTGTCCTTTTTAGTATCTGAAGACTCATTTCTTCCAGCTGCTCCTTGTATGTCATGCTTCTTGAGGCTGGAGGCAATATAGTTAGGATAGAGTTAGATCTATCATAACTATGCACCCGGCCAAATAAAAGATGTCACCTGAAGATATTCTCCACATACTCCCACCCACACCCCGCCATACACACACACACACATCCCCACCATCATGCAGACACACACATAGGGTGGCCATCAGAGAAGACATTCTGGTTTTCTGCTACTCTGTCCTCTACTGATACAAAACCTGACACCTTTATGTCCTCTATTTTTCTCTTCAAGAGAAAAAAAGAGAACATAAAGGCGCCCAGTTTCATATCAATAGAGGACAGAGGACAACTGGACTTTCCTCTATGATGGCCACCCTACACACACACCATACACACCCCTGCACCATACATACACACAGACCCACCATACATCCAAACCATACATACCCTCCCACCACACACCCCCCAACTACACCCCCTCACAATATAAAAGATTAAGAATTTATTTTTGAGTTATTATGCAATCAACTCTATATACAGTACACAAACACAAATTGTGACAAAATATGTTTTGTAATAAAATTAAAATATGTTATAGTAGGTGTTTGACTTTTAGTTTATGATTTGTTTTTTTTCTGGTTCTAAGATTGCAACCACTCCCCAAAAAGGAGTCTTTTCAGGGGGCAAGGGAAGGGACTTCTGGTGGCAAAGGTCAGGGGTTAGGGGTGGGACTTCCATTCCCAAGATGGCAGCCAGGGAGCGGGGCACCTGTGAAGGGGTGGGACTACCGATGTGGCCCTCAGCAGCTCATCAAACCTCATTAAGTGGCCTTCCCCCCAAAATAATTGCCCACCCCTGCTCTAACACTACTTAGATACCTAAGTTTCTGCAAATTAAGGCTTTTAGGCACTTAAACTTCTGATGCTGGACATTAGATTGGGGTGAAAATACCACTTAAAATAATAATTTTAAATATTAATTACTGAAACAGTATGTTTGTAAGTAATCACAGCTTCTTGACCTTTAGACTTTCTCTAGTAAGACTAAGCACCTACCTTAGAGCTGCCCCAGAAAGGTATGGGTTGTAATGCTCAGCATCTGACACGCACATATCTCATTGGGACTGGGTCCCAGCACTACTGGAATTAAATTGTTAAATGATAATCACTGTTATCAATACAGTTTTTAGTTTGCCAAAATACATTATTATTATATGTTGAATAGTTTTAACTTCAAATGAATTAGAATAAATTATTTTTAAATGATATCTTGTTCTGATATTTTTCTAATTTCAATTTTATAACAAGTTACAAATTTAAAAAAATGAATAGAAGAAAACATGCTGTTTGACTCCAATTAAACACAGGATGTACTGGAGCTTATTCACTCCATCCTCTTGGCTTAGATGATTGAGAAGGGATTCTTGAGGTGTGCACAAGGAACTAAAAGAAACCATTACCACATCTTAAGTAGAGCACCTAATATGCATTTGATGGGAACCTGTTTCCATCTGCTGTCAGCCAAGTCCAGAATATAGTCAGAAGACAAATATTTCCCCTGCCCTAAACATATATAGTTGCTGGTAAAACAGTAGGAACTTTAGGTGTGCTCAGAGGAATATTTTGTGCAGTGGACTTAACAGGTGAAAGATACTGCATTCTGCTTTCTATCTCCTAGTATATCCAGCTTTTGCTTTGAGTCTAATTACTGATGGTTGTAATTAACAGGTATACTTTGCAAAACAATTCCAAGCTTATGACTATGCATCTAACGTAAAGAATATGGAGAAATACAATCAGGTAGGATGATATGCTTTTTGTTGGAAAATGCTGAGGTCTTTGTAAAAAAATAATAAAATAAGGAAACATAAAAACAAAAGACCAGAGACCTACATTTATAGTAAGATAAAGGAAACATCCTTCAAGACAATGTTTCAGGGTACTTTACAGTAGGGGTGGCCAGCTCACAGCACACATGCTGTGAGGGGACAGGCGGCTGCTGTGTGACCCTGGGTCACCAGAGGCACCAGAGGACAGGCATGGGGTAGAACACCCTGTGGATCAGAGCTAGAGAAAACATTCCTGAGAGAAGAGATGTCAGCTGTCACTGCCAAGAGACAATGTAATCCTTCCCTAGCCCTGCAGTTACAGTTTAAAACATTTCTGACCTTTCAGTCACCACCAAATGCAAAGCTTTGCATTCTCCCTGGCCAGGCAAAACAAAGGCAGTTGTGTGGCCAGGAAATAGTTAACCTGACTCTTGGAGCTGTCCCCTCTTGTCCCTGTTTTGCTCTGCTGAGCTGCAGCCAAAAATGGAGCCCTTTAACCTCCATTCCTGAACCCCATTGTGTATATCTGTGGGGTGTGGGATGAATCAGAGTGGTACTTGGAGATCAAGTGGAAGGGTGTGGGTGCTAACTTGTGACACACCTGCCCAAAACGATGGGACACCACTGCTTTACAATAGAAAAGTTAAACCATATATCAAGAGGCTGAGAGGAAGTCATTCTTGAGAAACCTGTGGTGAAAGAGGTCATTTAACGTGGATGTGTCCAGTTGTAAAAGGTTATTAAGATGCATAATTAATCAAGTGGTTACAAGTGGGTGGATATTTACTGCCAAATGATTCTTGGGTAAGCCTGCTAGGGCCTCCTAGAAAAAGCAATCACAAAGAAAAGAAGATTTAACATCTCACCTGTTAGTTGCTGGTAGACTTTTGGTGGGTTTTGTTGGAAAAGGAAAATCGAAATCTACTCAAAAGAAAGTCTGATGTCTAAAAAGTCAGAATTTTTAATACCAGTAAGTGTCGAGTGGGTCTGATGTATTGGCACATGGATCATGAGAATTTAATGGATTTTCTTTTACCCAATGCATCCCAGCCATATACAATCTGATTATCATTCTAACGCACGTGGGAGTGACACGTGTGCTTTCATGCAAAATTTGTAACATGAACCAAGAATCTACAACTCTTGTATTGTGAACACTTCTAATCTTTTGACATTGATAGATTTTTACTTAAGGGCATAACCTCCAATTACTGATACCGGGGAAGGATGAAAAAAGGATGGATGACAAGTTTTATTGTTACTTTTTTTACCATTTTATTTTAGTGGCTTTGGAAGAGGAAAAGATTTTTTCACTTCAGAAGTTATTTGTTAAAAAATTGCAATGGCTTTCCAGATTTCCCTATTTTAATCTGTTCCCTTCTTTTCCAGACAACTCCTCCTGCCTATGAAATAGAAAAATTGAAAATGCCAACTGCCATTTGGAGTGGAGGACATGACTTGTTGGCAAATCCAAAGGATATGGACATGTTAATCCCTCGATTCACTAATCTAGTTTTTTATGAGTGTTTCCCTGAGTGGGAACATCTAGATTTCATTTGGGGTCTTGATGCAGCCAAGCGTATGTACACAAAAATCATTGACCTGATGAAGAAGTATCCCTAAAGCCACATGACAAGACTTGAAGGAAAAGATTTGATCTACTGGGTACTGTATGTTTTCTGTTGGTAATAGGGATAACTCTGTTGTATTTTTTCCTTTCTTTCTTTCTTTCAAGATGGCCGCCGACAGGTGAAGCCCTTCTGAGCTCCTGCAGCTCGAGTGCCTTCTGTGCGTTCCCTGCACTCTGTGCCCCCCTTTTCCTGTCCCCACCCTCCCAAAAACCTTGCCTCTACCCACCCTGTCCCTGGGGACCCCCTTCCCCCACTCTTTCTGAGCGTTTTTCCCCTGGGCTCTGGCAGCCTCGGTTGCCTCTGTCCCTCCCCCACCCCCGCCAGATTTCTCCCTGTGATTCATGCTGCCTCCCTCCCCCAGGGCCCCTTACCTTGGTCCCTGCCATCTCCCCCTGCCTTGGGGCTTGCCCTGAGTCCCTGCAGGGTTGCTCTGCCCCCCCTCAGGCCGATTTTGGGGCGTTTTGAGCCCCCTCCCAGTCCCTGGCATCAGCCTGAGGCTTTTTTTCCCCCCCGCCTCCTGGGAGAGAGTTAACCCTCTCCTGCCGGGATGCCTGCAAGCAGCCAAGGCACTTGGCATGGGGATGTCTCTGTGGACCTTCCCCTCAGCCATGGCATGCGGGTGCATGCTCCTCTCCACGTCACGGTGGAGGACTGCACCGGAGCTCTGGTGGACCTGCTGGGATGCCGGAGCATTCGGTATGCCTCCCAGGTCAATTTGGTGCCCATTATCTATTTGAGCTCTCCCAACCTGGTGAGGGAGGTGTGTGCGGCGGGGCTGGAAGTCTCGGGGGTCCACCACTTGGTCATGCCCCTGGAGACCGTGGCAGTGCGGGTGGTGGCCTCCAACGTGCCCCCGCACCTGTCAGACTGGGACCTCACCAACGCGGTCGAGCGCTATGGTGTCCTCACCAGCCCCTGGTGCAGGCTGACCATGGGGAGTAGGGACCCCAAGCTGAGACACGTCCTGTCCTTTCGGAGGCTGGCGGTCATGCTCCTCAAGGGGGCCGCCCAGGAGGAGGGGGGCTGCACCCTTCG